TTTAATTTAAAAAAAGAGTACCAGACTGGCTTGGTGACTTTTGGTAGCCTCAATGCCTTGTTTTATGTCATTCAACATATGCCCTTCCTGTGGCTTATTGTCTAACATGTCCACTCATGGTTTAATCTGTACATCCATTGTCTGGTCAATATGAATAAAAGCATTTCTCTCTCTTACAGATACTTCCCAGAAGTTCTCTACCATATTTTGCTTGCCCTCTGCAGAATGTAGCTACAGCTGCCTTGAGTTGTAAGAGACTGGAAAATGTATAGATTTTTATTCTAGATATCAGTGCGCTCAGCTGAAAACAGAGGTTTCTTAAAAAGGCAGCAAGGGCAACTAGGCATCTCAGCTACGAATAACCTGAGTACTTTGAATGTGTAATTTCCAGTGTGTTTTACTTCATAGACTTACAACATAGGAGTGTGGTATGTGTGTGTGTGCGTGAGTGTGCATGTGTGTGTATTCCCTTTTAAAAAGTAAGCTGGTTTGGAAAGAAAAAGCATGAGAGGCAAAAGCCTTTGTTTGAAAAGGGGATTTTTCTATCAAGATAGGTGGAGATCATAACACAGAAAAATATAGAAAAAAATAGAATATTTTTAAAAAAGATTTATTTACTTATGCTTACAGAACTGGGGTACAGGCCAGATTTGTGGTGAGTGAGAGAATTCACCAGAGACAGAGTGGGGAGCATAACAGGCAGATCTACTGAAATACACTTCTGAGGGGAGCAGTGGGAAGGTCAGGAGAGGTCATCTCCCTGGCTGGGGATTGAACTCATGCTGCAGTGGCTTCATAGAGCTTCATAATGCGGTGCTTTAGCCTGTTGTGCCACCAGGGAGAGCCACCCCCTCCCCGCATCCCCCAAAATAGAATATTTTTAATTATCGGTTGTCTGCTCTCCAACTTCTTCAAACTGTACTGAATTTCTTCATGGTTTAAATTTGTGTTCTCTACTCTTTTTGCCTGAAATTTTGTTTCCTGATCTTCCTGTAATATTTTGTCTTCATATTTCTCAAGCTTTATCTGTGTCTTTTCTGTTATACTGGATGTTCTATAAGCACAGGAGCCATGACTCGTTCAATAACACCCCCTATTATCCTGGATTACAGCAGGCATGCATACACAAAACTACATGAATTAATAACATTTCTCCTATTCGTAGCTATTTGTGAAATCAACCATGCTTCTGGTAAGTACATTTCTGTAGTCATCACAGCATGCAAGTAAAAGATATATGCAAATCTGCTTCTCTAGCCAAAACCCAGTCTACACCTCTGTGGCAGAGGTCTTTGAATTACAACTATGTTGAAGTGAGAAAGATTTGGGGCTTAAAACACCCATGGTTAAGTTCTGTCACTTATTTGAGCTTGGTTGAGTCAGTCTCTGTAGCTGTTGATTAAAATTCACTTTCCTTTACTCCCTAAATATCAGTCTCTGTAGCTGTTGATTAAAATTCACTTTCCCTAAATAAAGTACAAGGCTACTATATATTTCTCAGTTTGCCTCACAGATTTTTATTTCACAGAATTCTAGCCAATAAAATAGAAATGGATCAGATATATGTAATTATCCAATTAAAACATGTTTACTCCACTACCTACCACTTCAGCTATTTTATCATCCTTTTTCTTCTTTCTGACCAACCCAGGTGATAACATCCCCACCCTGGTGACACTATGGTGACATCATTGAAATAATTTTGTGAGACTTGGTACCTAAATGTCAGCGTTCTTACAAACTTCCGTTTTCTCTGGGCAGCCTCTGTTGTCATTTCAGAGTGTTAATCTCTGGCATATGCCTGTCCAGTACAAGGAATAATGAGCACATTGAATTTCGCATCCTGAACCAGTCAGATATCTGCATTTAGTGCCATCACTGATGATAGGATCATGCATCCATTATTGCTGGATCCCTGGCGATGTCTGCCTCTCTTTTAACATTAACAACAGAATAGAATTTGAGTTATTGTTTTGTTAGTTTAAGGAGGAATTAATACAGTTCAATTAAAGCAAGGTTGTATGCTGTATTTTTTTTTTTTTTAAA